TTGAAATTGTCAAAGGGACGACGACTAAATACACCGAAGCACCACGAACGACGAAGCGGAACACGCTCCGTTATCGTCGAGCGTTTTGCATAAATTATTTCGAAGCTCGCGGAGGAGGTCGATGGGACGAGTTGGATCGAGCAACCGGGAGAAACTGATCGCGCAATAAATCTCGTAGAGCTCTGTTTCGACGGCCAAGGAACGACAGTCTTAGCAAGACAGAGGCCGGAGGGGAGGGGGAGCGACCGGGAAGGAGAGAAAAATGAATTTACAATGATTTACTTCGAGGACATCGTCCTTGCCGCTGGTTATTATACATATACGTAGATCCCGTGACGGGAAGCCATTTTTCACGACGTCCCCGAGGAATACTTACGGCCGGCCGGTGTTTTAATCGATCTGTAAATAGCTGGCGGATCAGCGGCTCGAACGGTGGCCTCGTTTCAACGCCGGACATTGTAAATAGTAATTAGAACGAACTCACGGCCCCGTAACCTATTCGAAAATAATTTTTAAAGTAGACTTACAGGATCGAGAAGATAACGAAAAATTTCAGCGTGTAAGAAATTGAATAGTTTCGATGGAGGATGTTAAATAATGCTTGTTTTTGGCATCACGTGGGATCTATTAGAGTGTTTTTCATGGACAACGATGGGAAAATTGTCAAAAATGCGTTCAAAGTATGAATATGATGGTAATCGAACTTCCGTATATTTTACATTTCGTTGTCTTCTTCTTCGGATGTCGAACCGAAAATAATTAGCAAGAAACTCAGTGGGCAGATGAATTGAAGCTTGAAATCGAGCGAATCCAAAGTACCATGTAATGATTGCTACGTGGGAACAGCACGCGTTTTACTTCAATTAATACATACACAAAGTATTTTAAGCTGTTTGAATGTTGTAAATGCAGTTTCGTTTTCGGTAAAATGGTGTTAATTGGTTTCACGTCAATCTGGTATTTATGAAAATTAATATTATGTGATGGTATTGCAACTTGGAATTCAAAATCTCCGCTGTTATTTACACAGTCGGGCGTACTAACCAGGTACTTGCTTCATTTGATATGTTCTACGTGCGTAGATCTTTGTAACTTAACACTAACCCTACCGGCACTTCGTGTATACCCATTCCATGCCATGATCGGGCAAATGACTTTCTTTTTCTCTTTTACGAGGCAACGTATTTCTAATTTTCGCATTATATGTATAGAAAGTAATGTTTTGAAATTTATTCGTAAGATATCCTTCTCTTTTATGTCGCACATTTTTTCTTAAACGTGCATTAATACTTTAATAGTATTAGTAAATTATTAATTTTCATCGGATAGAAGATAAAATGCTCTTAAAAACAAGTTCTTTCAAGTCGATACCGTAGTTAATTCCAGAGAAAAGAATTATTTACGAAAAAGTATAGTAAAAGAATAGTAATTATGTAAACACCCTGTATACAAACTAAAATTCATTTTCAATTAAATAAACAATTTATAGTCCAGTTTTATCCCATTCCAGTATGATCAATGTTGCTGAAACTACTTTGGGTATGTAGTGTCAAAGTAAACGTGAAAATAAACATAGAAGACAGCAAAAATTATAGTAGCTGGTATAGTCATTCGATAGAGGATGCAATCCCCTTTAAAATGAGCGTTCGAACAAGTCAATAGCTCAATTAGTTCCGGAGATATAGCGATTTTAGTTTCAAGTCGATGCGATGGCTAGTTACGGAGATATAAGGGTCCGAAGCGTTTGTTTACTTTCTTACTACGGCCTTGTCAAGGTCGTTGACCGGCACGTGACTCGGAGAAACTAGGTCACTCGGCCACTCAGTCACGAGTCACGTACGAGAAAGAGAGGTCCGGCGCGACGTGTCAGACGGAGACAGAGATAGTCGAATTAGAAAAATTACCCCTTTACATAAATTACGATATCTCGAAAACGGGAAGTCGGATCGCCAAAATCCAAAAGCCATTTCAAAGGGGAAGGTTCACCGCTTCCAACGATGGCTCAATAATGCATAAAACACTAATAGTTTCGGAACTGTACGCGTCTGAAGTTTTAGTATTTTTAATACGCGTTGTTAGACTGTTTTAAGACAGTGGAAACTGAAGATTCTCTCCTTTCGTCATTGCTATATGTATATTTTCTATTTACATCGGAAGCTAACCAGAATTTGATACCAAATTTCGTCCAGTTTTTTACAAAAAAATATAAATCATTCAACCGGTCATTTGTTTAGTGTTATTCTAATGGAAAATTCTAATTCTGTAACTTTTGTACGTTGTAGCTCTTATCTTGAGTTCCATGTAAACTGCACTATACGATCCTTGCCATAAACATATTCCCTATACGTCGCGACGGTGAGAAGTTGAGATGTAAGCAAGAGTTAGAGTAAAAAAAGAAAACAGATCTGGCTGTTTTAGTTAAAATATCTCTTTCCTTCGATTCTTTACAATTTCTATTTATTCTAATTATTTCTAAAACTCTTCGATACTGTCGATTAAGATCATTTGAACCGGGCGATATTTCCCTTGCGGATTGTAGCTTTCGATACTCCGTGATGGAAACTCGGCAATCACTAACAGTTGAATCGAAATTCATTACAAAATATCAATATATTCTCGAAGTAATCAAAGGACGCATAAAAAATCGTTAAATATTTCGAGGATAGTTCGATATCCGAAGAAAACGACGAAATGTAAAATATACGTAAGTTCGATTATCATCATTCGAACTCATTTTTGCGATGACATTATTTGTTCCTCGGTAAACGCTCTAAAAGATTCACGAGACTAGTCAACATTTTCTTTCTCTCGTCAACGCGCCGATCGAACGTAATTAAATTCACGCGCTAATTGTCATCGACTGAACTTCGTTCGATGTAATGCCCGGTGAAATTACATTTTACATCACTTAGAGCGGCGCTGGATTCATTTCCTTCCCGTTATTTAATAAGACCGAAACAAAAGAAGACGTCGTCCGTTTCTCTCGTCTCTTACCGTACTATCGTTCTTTCTGTAACAGGGAGAACCTTTTTCTCTTCTTATTTCGCGAAATCTTCCAGCCTGATCTCCTTGCGCTTTAATATACCCACGATTAAGCGGCAGCTCGCGACTTTATGAGAACCACCATGCAAGAGTTAACCCCCCCGTTTCCGCCCCCGCAGCCCTTTCGTGTGTGGAGCCACTCACGAACGTGGGAGGGGGTATTCTTTTATATCTTCTGCAGCAGATTTCGCGAATTCATACTTTCCCGACGGATGGAGAAAAGAGCCAGGCAGGAAAATGTCACCGGGGAATTGAAGAAGATCGTCGAATCCAGCCACGAGGTGTTCACTCGACCAAAACGAATAGAAACTATACGTTTTAATATGGTTTACCGTATCAAGCGCGGTACGTACGTGGTTCTGGCGTTACGCGGAACTTTAAAGCGCTATAACTCGCAAAGAAAACACTCGCGTTGGCTTTGTATCATCAATACGATTAGTGCAGAGCCGGGGCCAACCCATTTCAGGGGGTGCCCCGTATATTGACATTCCGACCTGCGTTCTCGTGCGGAAATGAACAGCGAAACTGGATGTTCTCCGTGTTTAATCTGGTGCACGCTGTTTATTTATGCGAGTCAGAGTGTCTTCGGTACGCAATGAACGGATTATCGCGGCATACCGCCACGATTACACGCGATGTGTCCCTACCCGCTCGTGTGCAACGAAGTTGGGCAAATTTTATTACCGGCAAAGGTTAAAGAATAATTAATACACACTGTTGGACAAACGCGTACGCTTGCTTACAGAAAACAATTCAATTGATAGAAAATTATGGCGAAACAAGGCTTTCGTCTGGGGATTTTGGTAATTTTTTTCCCGCCAACTTGTTCCCACCCTAGTGTGAAATGTTGTAAAACCACGTGACTTGAATATTTAATGTAGCTGATATTAAATTTAAAATCGTATGAAGGTTCGAACGACCCAAGAGGCAAATTTGAATCGTGTCTGGACTGATCTTTTTAATGATTTTTGGAACAGGAGTTGGAGTGATAGCGTAGAATGCCCGTAGATTTCGCTGGAAGACGTTGAAGCTGAGATAAGACGTTCGTAGGGCACGAATGACACGATATTCAGGAGTACTGGTGACACAATGTGGATGTGAAACTGCACGTAGATTAGGGTGAGTCAATTACTGATATAACGGGATACAGAATGTGAACAGATTATGAACTTTGGAATTAGACGCGTAGAACATGTCAAAACTATCGAACTTGGATTTTGCCAGGCGTTCCAATTTCTTCAGAACTTTTGCACGTCGATTCGACTAAACATTCGAACTTGTTGGGGCTCGAAAATTAAAAATAAGTAAAATATTTGATACAGTGGCAACAGCTTTCGGAGCTTTTGAAAAAAATTCGTATAAGAATGTAGGATGTCGAGTGCTCAGCTGTCAACACTTATCGAAAGTTTCAAGACTTCTATATTATATTTGCAGTGACTCTATTTACTATAGAAATTCGGAACATTAGTAAAATGAATTTGAAAGTATTTTAAGAAAACGATTAAGCTGTGACTCATAGTTCCTTTTTGCAATTTTATACATAAATACATAATAAAATTTGACGACTATCAATTTTTTAACGGTTCTCTAAAGGTGTAGAATCTCATCTTTAGTTGATCAACTTAGAACTCCTATAAACTGGTGACCCACACGACTCATCAAATTTAAAGTATGTATATTGTAGATGCTACGATATTAAGTGTGTCAAATGTGTTTGTTGAATTCACGAACGATGGTTCTCAGAAGATTTGTCACGTTGCAAGGCTAAACGTATCTACTGATCACTTATCTCGGAATATGTTCATATTATTTTACAGTTCACAGAAGATTTTGTATATTCTATCGTTAATAGGGGATTGAAATGCCGACTATAGAAATCTTCATTGGCCTTTGATCTGATTTCTAACAGGAAATTACAGTTTCTGATCGAAACGAATAGTAAAAATTGAACGACTCACCAGTCGACGGTGGCCCTTGCGATGTACATCACCTGGTTCGCCGTGTCAACATTCAGGCGGCTATAATAATGTACATCGTTGATGGGAACAATGGTGTGACAAACGAGACGGGTTTCCTTCCGATCGAGTATCGTCAGATTGTAAGACGACGTCACGAGTCGAGACGCTATTCGATCCAAACCCAACCATAATTTATTGTCTACCACCCAGGATGGATACGTGCAGTTTATTGGCCGATATTCTGAAAAGAAAATTACAAATTATCGTTATGTGCAGGCTTAACATAGTAAAATTAAAATTATAGCAAGCCACGAAAGAGCTAGTCATTTTAAATACCTTTTCTCTGAAGATAAAGGAAGTTTAGAATATCTCCATTTAAAATAGTTCGAACAAATGTTGAAAATTATACAGTTCTGGATTAGTATTTTAATTTTAAGCTATCATGTGACCTTTTGGGACAGGGAATATTGATAGTAAGTGATAATAGCCTATGTATGGTCAGCCAAAGATTTCTTTTACAATTTTTGAGTATATCTATTATTTTAGGATTTTTTCTTAATTTACAAATACTCAGTGAAGGAGAAAGAATTATCTTAGATATAATTCTAAGCGTGTACAAAACCTGTAGAATCTATTATTCGTTATTCAGCGTAAGTGTTACGTTCTAACTGTAATTGGAGGTATAAATTCGAATTAATTTCATGGAATATTCTCTGCAAATTGAACTCGAAGTATAGGAATTTCTATCGCGATAAATATCCCAGATTTTATAATACACGCGGAATGCAATGATCACCCATAATCGTGTGTCAGCTTTGTCGTCTGCAAATGGTTATCGGTGTCGATGGTTGACTGCTTCGCGGCTATCAATCACTGTACAAGAATTAATGGTCCGTTAAAAATGCACAGGCGCCGAAGTATGCAGTGTGTTAAAAGGTAATCGGTGTATCGATCGAACACGCAATTTTCGTTAATCCGCGAACGCTTGCCTGAATTATTGTCCGACAAAAAAAGAATAGAATGTGCGCGCAGGATGAAGAAACAAACTATATCAAAGCACGCTGCGTGGAAGTTCCGCTACCAAATGTAACCCAGGACTTGTAATAGAAATCAGACAACCGAGAAATCAAGCACACGGACGAATCCAATTAGTTCGCGAGCAGTGTCTCGAACGTCTCGTCCCCCGATAGTAATTTTTATTCGATTTGACGGACATTTCTATGCGGGCGGTTTAACGACCGCGGCGTAGAATAAACGGTAAAAGCAATCAAAATCGCGAACATTCCCGCGGGACTCGTACGCTAAAATTCCATTCTGTCCGGATCGGAGACCGGCTAAAGATTCAGTTCGAGAGTCGAACGTTCGATAAAATCAATCCCAAGAATGTCTGGCGTCGATCCGACGGCTCGAGCTATCACCTCAATTTGGTTAACCGTGGTGGCAGCGCCAGAATCATCGCAATCTAGTAAGGATACGTGTAGCTATGCGGAGCCATGGAATACTCCAAGTACCTGACGTAGACTGCCGCCTGGCCTCGATAGCATGCGGAGCAAGAATCCGAGTTAGTGTCCACAGACACCCTCATAGTTTACGTGTTCTCGTTCTTCGGGGCTGTTCCCGTAGCGCGTCGCGGTTTCCATCATACCAAGATGCGCGTCCGTTCGACGATCTATAGTGTCAAGTTGATTCGAATTCATCGACGGTATCCAGATCGTTCGGAATTTCGCGATACATACATACGTCTCGAAACCGAGTACGACTTGCAGTGGTAACGGAGCAATGTCGAAGATTGTGCACGTACAAAGAATGCAATAAAATTTTAACGATTTACATACTCGTTGATCTTGTTGGTCTCGAACGATACACTGCGGGTCATAACTATAAAACCACCCTAAAATTTTCAATTTTATATATGGACCGTTTATTTTGAAAGTGGTGTAAATCCATTACTGAAAAAAATGAGATATCACGTAATTCATGCTTAATTTAATATAAATTTTTTATGTATAACTAGCCCGTGTTTAATTTCTTACAAATTTCCCATGTTTTGTACAATTTAAAATTGGTCGGTAAATGAAATTGCATAATCATCGATTATGAAAGTGGTGTAAGTCCAATTGACAGAGGTAGGTGGTTTAGCGGATGCGAAAAAAGAATTTTCTGTACACACCACAGGATTATTATGATGTAATAACACAATGTAGAAAACATGATAAATTCATTTTATATGAAATGAAACGAGAGAATTTTGTTTCAATAAAAAATCTTCAAAATGCAATTGAAAAACAGATAAGAAAAAACACTAATGGAGAACAGGTAAATTGGTTGCAAATATGTTGGATGAGGTTTCTCAAAAGTGCACCATACACTATTTGATAGAAAACATCGATGAAGGACAAAGAATTTAAAACTATAAATTTATTACCTACACGTTCTGGAAGACCGCTAAAATTTGAAAAAATCGCCCTGGCGCCTTTGCACCAAGATGCCAGGCCTATTACTTATGAAAAATATAAAGACATCGATCAGTTATTACCTTATATACCTCCGGTGCATCATGCATATTTCGAAACACTGCCACATGCAGAGCATAAGTAAATACTATCGATATCTTGTAATTTGAATAATGTAATTGGCGTCTAAAATTAAAAATACTACTTCTATTTTATGTCGTGTCATTATTTGCAAACAAAACTGGATTAATATGAAGTATATTTTAAGTGATATTTGATTTTTCAAAATTGAAATTAAACGATTTTTATAATTGTCTAATTTTGAAAGTGTTTAGTAAAATATGCTTAAAACAAATTTATATAACCAAATTACATATTGATAAAACAGTAGAAACATTGCCAGACTTCATATAATTTGCCTAAATTTTTTAATTAACATATATGTTAATCTTTAATTTTCTCGAAACAAGAGAAAATGGACTTCACTTTCAAAATAAACGGTCCATATGTCGTAATCCATTAGAAAGTCTTTATTATCGAAATTATGTTGGCCCTAATCGATATGGCGGACACTTCGCTATGATAAACATCATTTTTTCGTACATTTTATGTTAAGTTTTACGAGTATATTTAATTATGTTGAACAAACAGATGTTGATACTAACTGCAATATTTCTTACAGATACATTATCAACGAATACAGTATTTTTTACTAATTTTTTCTTGGGCGTCCCATTTTGCCCCTCGCTAACCAATAATCAAATCGGCTATGCAAGATTAACGATCTATTCTGCTCAACATTAAATGTTTAGACTAATAAAATATGTCTATCAAAGGGAATATAAAAATTCAAAGTATAAGTTACTTTTTCATGCGAAAAAACGTCGAAGAAGTAGGTTTTTGATTTTTGCAACTACGCTGCACCTCACCAAACAATCTAAAAAAATTCAGAGACATGACCTATGACAATACGCGTTTACAGTAATTATAGAAATTCAGTGTCTCGAAAGCTTCGATACAAAATCCGTATTTTTCTATGTTTTTAATTTTTCACACCTAGGATTTGGAATCAAAGAATCGGAAAAAATTCTCAAACACGTATCTCAATAACCACAATGCACCAGATTTTTTACGTAATCAACATACCCGGAAAATAGACGCGATTTCGATAATCTGCATTTTCCCTGTAACTACCCTGCCGAACGAAATAGAGGGTTGAAAGTTGGGGCAGAATATTCGATTCAAGGGCACATTTGATACAGTGGCGACCAATCGTTTATTAAACGCTCTTTCGATACTCACTCTGCTTCATTTTGTACGTTCTGGCAGCATCGTCGACGCTGAAGCCCGTGCATGCAGCGTCCCCGCTTTGCGCCAAATCCCAAGTGTTGTTCGACGTTTGTTCGTAAATGAAACACCTATAGCTGTCTTCGTCGTTCGTTTTTCGTGCCCCGTGCAGCCGTGCCACCAAATTGTGCGTGCTCCCGTCCTTCCACGTGGCTAGACACTCCAACTCCATGTCTGGAAATAAACGAACCACCGAATTACGCCAAGACACCGACAAAAGTTATTTGGAACAACGAATTAAATTCGAGAAATTTCAGCTCCCACTATCGTCTGCTTTTTGTACAGAAATAGTCGCGAATCGATTTCGATTGGAAAGTAGATCATCCAGGAAGGGATCCTTATATTTCTTGGAATTTGTGTGTGTAGGCGTTTCCGTTCGCTGATTACACCGCGATGCATAACCGCGCCAATTACGATGAAAGCTAAATCGTTCGGGATCCCCGTCGAAAATTATGGACGGAAGCATTCTAACTCGTTAATAAACCGTGCACTGTCGAGTAGAATGAGTTATACGCACGCTTTCGTTCCGACCATGATCGTTGAATTTACACGATCGCGGCCGTGATAATCGCAGAAAATAGTTTGGACAAGCGTAACAACAAATAGTAATTGACAGGGGCATTAATCATTTATAACGATACCGGATGGTTTATTGACCGGTGCCTGTCCGCCGTGATATGATAATCAACGTCGCGACTGAATATTATTAACCTGGGGATAAATATTAACGACACGATATGCTCCCTTTTTGACGAACGTGACGCCGTAATTGTGCCTTTTCGTTCTCGAACGGTTAAGTATCGTTAAGTTTTTAGAGACAGTTTGGTTGATTTTTTAAACGCGAATTTATATTCCATAAAATATTTATCCTCGATTAACCCTTTGCCATGCAATGACCAGTCTTACTCGTTACAACTTCTCAATCACATGTTTCACAATTATGAGACTACTTACTCGTCATCAAGCCTTATCTATTAAAATCAACATATTTTTACATTCACGAGGTATTCGTAAAACAAATTTAAACAAAATTAAATAGTACACGTGAAATTAAATCGTACGTCAAGTACGTTAAGGACCGTTTATTTCATTATGTTTATTTGTGATCCGACGATTGACCATTCCTGCGTTTCTTCCTTATTATTTAAGTAATCGTACACGACGAATAGGAATTGTAGAAAATGGAAGAGAACTCACCAATACTTTCGGAAGAACGAACATTGGCGCACGCCTGATATCGCAAAAACAACCGCGATTCTTGGGTGCAAGTCTCCGCGATGGACAATGGCGAATCGCACGTCTGTTCTCCGCTGGTGTAGGCGAATTCTAGAGGTCCTTTGAATGGACACGGCATGGGAGCAGCGCCCGTGCGAAACAATGAAATAAGATTGTCGTCGCTGGTCAACACGCTGCACGTGTCGTGTAGATTGGGCTTCGTCGGCATCGCTATGCAAAAGCCTAAAAGAAATATAAACGAAACGTAACAACGGGGTCGCAAAAATATTAGAACGCTTAGAGATTACGTGGGCGGTGTTTTTGCATAGAAATATCGCTAGATCCGGACGATGTAGAAAAACAATACATCGAGCTTTGCGTTTCGTTATATATGAGCTTAAGGGGCCATTCTACCTTGTAGGCATGAAAAATACGTGTTTCTTTGTGATTTTTTTTTGCGGGTTATTAAAGAGCGATTAATTCCGGATTTTGTAGATACATTTATTATATATTTAGCTATATTTACGAATTTTTGCAACGCATAATATCTATTGATTACGCTGTTTTTGTTGATCATCAAACAACAGTTTTTACGAACGGCACCCGACTGCGTACGTGATATCTTGCGAACAAGTTATTCGAAATCCTAAAACCAACGATATTCTTAATATAGACGAGTGTGGTTATAGCATGAACTAGGATCTTTTCAAAAAAACAAAAAATGGCAAAATGGCAGCTATTTTACGAAAAAATACTGAATATTTTCATATATTTGGTTGCTTTTTTGTTAATAAAAGAAATAGTATTGCATATATCGCAATTATCCTAGTTCATGCTATAGGGAGACCAGTTCTGAAGATACTGTATAAATTTGATGTTGATATCTTGAATAGTTTTTTAGTTATCACGCACGCAGTGCCGAAAAATGTAGTTTCGAGAAAAACAGCTTTAAAGTTTCATGCCCAGTTGTTATACCTGCGCGCGGTACATTTCAACAGGCTATAACTTCGTTAGTTTTCCGAATTTCAATTTAATATTTGGTAGACATATTTTCGAGACTACATACTAAAGGAAAATGCAAAAAAAAAATATCGATTTTTTTAATCCCACAAGGTAGAAAGGCCCCTTAAGTTTATATTTTCTTCGTCGAACGATAGAAATTTTTTTTGTATCGTATGATCTGAAAAAAATATATTCCAGTCGAAACGTTTCGAACCGATCTCGATGTTTTCGAAACAATAGGAACTGATGCTCGTAGAAGTCGATACTCACTTTCTTTGTACTGCAGTACATTCGGGTGTTTCATGTGCATTACGATGCAACGGTAACACTTGTCCACACTGGAACTAAAAGAGAAAATTTCGTTACAAATCGTTCGTTCTGTTCCCCCGAGGTACGTGGATGTCATGGTACAGGGTGTCACAAAATTATACGCCACGGCCACCACGTTGTGATTCTACGTCTTTAGATTAGCGAAGATCTGTACAAAATTCTGCCCGCAGAATCGTTCTTTACCGACTGTTTGAGATCATTTTTATGGTTGCTTCGTATTCTACTAACCATAGGGAACAAAAGTCTCGAGAAAAATTATATTGAAGTTCTATTAATTTTGAAATTTGCGATTTTCACATTTCGAAGGAAAATTTTGACGTTTAAGATTCGATAATTTTTAAATGAAATCTTTGGAACGACAAAGACACCTGTTCCACGTATCTTCGTATCTTCGTTTAGTATTTCCTTCGTTAAATTAGACTTCCACTATCCAATTTGCATGTTTCTTATACCACTTTAAGCGTTTCTTCGTGTGTTCCTGTATGAGATAAGGTTTTAGTTTCGTTTTCCAAAATTCGTTCGTTTATTTCTTTTGACGTCATGGTCTCATATTTTTAACAATTGCGTGCGTTTTTCTATCGTTTAATACGATCAGTTACAATTCGTCTCGTCACGTGACTTCTGTTTGGCTACTTCCTTGCTTGAGAAGTTCGATTATTTTTAACTTTATGTTACTGGATATTTGACGTCTGAACGGTAAAAGGGTCTGTTTAGATTTTCTCAGATTCAAGATTTACACGTGCTTCTTCCATTCGAAACACTCACAGAGTTATTTCAGCGACGATCGAAAACTTTTTTCCACGTAACATTTTGTTTCTTTCTAAAAATAAATAAAAGTTTGCGTTATTTTATATTTATTTACTTTACTTAGATCCCGCCTACGTTCACTGTTCGTTCTAACTATATCGTAATAATATTTAGCCATTCTAGAATACGAATACTTTTACAAATCTCGTATCAGTGTACACGATTGGAACGTGTCCTTTTACATCCTGCTTAGCAACCTAATGAGAAGATTTTGATTCTATAAATCTACAAAAATATAAATATTGCTAAGAATAACCGACGAGTCTATGCGAATCATATGCGTCGAACAAAGTTTAGTAATAAAATTCGACGAGCAGCAAGTTTCTCGTTATCGACGCGCGGAACTATTCAAGAATCAACATTCCTCATCGTGGAATTATCGAGGCAGTTCGCTGCAACAGTGGCGCTACTTTCCAGAATGATCATAGCACCAGCCAATAAGTATATCATATTGCACTGATGGACAGAAACAAACCTAAACTTTGGAGCGAGTGGGAGAAGGGGCGGGTAGGAAGGAGCTGAGTCAGGAAGAGAATAGAAGTTGCAAACCGGAGCTAAGTAAGCAAGATGCCAATTAGTAGAGACACAAGACAAGCTCCAAAAGTTTTAAGTAGCTACACAATACTACTTTGACCCCAGCCCCAGTCCATTCATCCCTTTTCCATCCTCCGTAACCGCCCTCACTGTCCCTATTCCACCACACAGTTTGTCTTTTCAACGTGTACAAATGCCCCTAGAATGTGTGTGCAACGCCTACGCCACTGTGTTACGAGTATTTGCGCGTCCCCTTGTTTTTGGCCGCTGATGGGACACCTTCGAATGGAATGCTTTGACAACTTTGAATTTGGTTTTGAAGGAATTATAGCCAAACAGAGATTGCAATACACGGAACTCGGGAACAAGCAAACGGAGTTTCCCGACTTTCAGAGCAAATGGTCACTATTATATTGTACAGTAGGACGTCGTTTATCCAAAGTAATCGAAAAATTACTAGGTTCTATATGTTGATCATTCACATGTCATATTTTACGCATATAAATCTTATACGTTCAGTAATCTTGATATTAAATCTACCGACACTTCGTGTGTACTCATTCTTACCAAGACAAATGGTCAACTGATCAGTCTTGTTCTCTTTTACAAGGCAACGTACTTGTGATTTTTGCATTTATGACACCAGGTTGGCTAGTAATTACGCAAACATTCTGTATACGAATTTATATTCATTTTCAATTGAATAAACAATTTATAATCCAGTTTTATCGCACATCAGTTGTACGATCAATAGGAATTGCTGAAACTACTCTGGGTATAAAGTAAATTGCAAAATAAACATAGAAGACAGGAAAAATTATAGTAGCTGGTATAGTCATTGGATAGAGGATGCAATGCCCTTTAAAATGAGCGTTCGTACGAGTCGATAGCGTTATTAGTTTCAAAGATATGAGGATTTTAGTTTCAAGTCGATCGGATGGCTAGTTCCGGAGATACGAGGCTTTGAAGTTTGTTTACGTTTCGTTGACGCGAGGTCATTGACCTCACGCGTGAATAGTAAACAGTGCGTAGTAAATTCTTGGAAATAAATTACCCCTTTACATAAATGACGATATCTCGAAAACGAAAAGTCGGATCGACAAAAACCAAAAACCGTTTTAAAGGGGATGGTTTACCGCTTCCAATGATGTCTCAGTTATGCAAAAAACATGAGTAGTTTCGAAACTGCAAGCGTCTAAAGTTTTGCTACTTTTGATACACGTTAATAGAGTTTTGTAAGGCGGAGAGTGAAGTTTTAAAAATTATACCTTCATTTAAATTACGATATCTCAAATTCTATACCAAAGTTTGAATTAACTATTACAATAATATTATTTGTTTTGTTGCTTTATATGAACAATATAGAAGGCATAAAATATTATATTTTTTTTTACGATTTAATTCTCCCTACCATGCAAGAATTTATTCCAAACGGCAGATAACTGTAGATCCCCATAAATCCGTTACGATGCAATTTTTATCGGAAGCGACACGTATCGTATTCGTGTGCGTTTATGGAGAGTCACTCGTCATTTAAATGCGCCGCGGCGCTGTATCGGTTTCAAAGCGTTCGATCAATGGAAAGGAGCACGAAGTAAGTAGACTCGAAAGACAAATACATGTATGAAATGTGTACGGAGACAAGCATCGGTGCACGCATCGACGGACTGAAACGTTTCGAAACACAAATGCACGTATGCTACCAATGGCTCATGGTTGGCGAAAACAATACAAAGGGACGCATTTACCAATCTGAGACGTTTAGGAATCGGTCGCTTTTACGAATATTCCCTGCATCTCGCTGGAACGATTTTTATTTTTAAAGCACACGAGGAAATCGTGTTTCCTTGGAACACGAAATTGCCTGCTGCCGTGCATTGAAGCGTAGCAATAAAGACTCGATTTTGAATAGAAAAGCATAGAATCCATAGAAGACACGAGCTTTCTTTTTCATTAGTCTGAAAAGGCGGAAAAACGCCTGATTTTTTAAAAAGAGTCAAAACGGGATTCGTAATACCAGAGAAAGTTTTAGAAGCTATTGTTTCTCGAAAGGAACACTTTCCTTTCTCCGGTCAGCGTTCGGTACCTTGGGAAGCCGAGTAAAAGACCTTTTCAAGCTTCGTTGAATCAATAACGCGCCAATTAACACGGTCGACATAGTTCTAGATGAATGGACATTGTCAGCCAATCGACTGTGCATCTGCATCATCGGTAATTATAAAAAAAATATGAAACAGTGCCCGCTGCAACAGTCCATCGAGGAACAAGTCGAGAACATGCTTCCGTCGAGATCGTTAATTTCTTCGAGTTAATTAGAGCTAATTACTCCTCGCTCGCGAAAGCGCGAAGAACATCGACGGACAACTCCGTCTCAGACTTTTTACGCACAAAATTGTAACGATACTTGTCTGTTCGCGAACATCCTTAAATGAAAATGTTATAATTTTGAATTATTATTAAGTTAATATTATATAGACGAAGCAGTGTATCGTTTTATTCTGTTTTGTTGTGTGATTATTGGAAAATTTTCGTTGGAAATGAACAGCAGGAGAGTCCTCGTAAGAATAACAAATTTTATTTGTAGAATAAAGAGTGTTTTCGAAGTTCATTGTTTCGATAACCGGCGCACGCTCGATTTTTCGAAATCGTCGTTAACAATTCCCGCTGAAAACACACCGTTCTATCGTCGTTCTCCCGTTATTGTAATTTTTTAAACATCGTCTCCGCGTTGCAAATATCACGCTCCGCGTGGCAGGTTCTGTCTGCCCTGTTTGACCGAAAAAGCCTTTTCTAACGCACAGCGGACGAAACTCAATTTACCTCGTTCTTTGCACACCGGTTTCCAACGGCCACGGTAAAAATTCTATTTGGCCAAGAATTTTAATTTCGAAGCAATGGCGCCAAAGATACTTAATATTTCAATGTTTACACTCGCCACTGTACGCTTTGTAAAATCATCGCGATAAACGTGTTTTCAAAAATGTTCGTTGCATGTTAAAACGGAACGTATGAAACGTACAGTATATTTATTTCGCGTGTACAAAACGATAAAAGTATTCAAAGTGTCTTATATGTTTGTCTAGTTCCGTAAATCAGAGTTTGATTCGCGATCAACTTGAACGATGCGTGAATGTGAATTTGAGATCATGAAGGGGTAAGAGCGTGTTTTCTTTCTGTGGATCAGCAATTCCAAGGGAGCATAGGGACCACAGAAGCTCGCCAATTTTCTCGAGACACGGACACGTCTAAACAGCAGAATCATTTTAAGCTCAAACCCTCATAAACTTTCGCACCTTTCAAGAACCAAGAGCCACTTGGATCCAGCAGCGAGCAACTTCAGCGAAACAAAAATCCGTCTTATTATATCTGAAAGTTTCCCGACACCTTGCGCAGGCCATTGTCTCAGCAACACCGCCGCGCGCGTTTCTTCTTAAACTTCCACCGAATCATTTCGCCTTGGTTTTCTATTGTCACGGAACGCTCGTTGCCGCAAGGACAAAGAGAGATATCCGTAGCTGGAAGAAAACGCGTTACGGAAACTTCCGCCGCGGCCATGTGTCCGATTACGATGCAAAAACTATGATCCCCGGTAACTCGGATCAAAATTGTTCGTTCGATGCAGTCACATCTTTTTAATTATTGTAGAGATTCTCATATCTGAACTAAC